TATTGTGTCTTGTTAATAAGCGTAAAAACGATCCGCGCAAAATGCGGATCGCGGTGATTGAGAGTGACACTTTTTTCTTGCCTCAGTGATAGATCCGAGCTTTTGTGCGATTAAAGAAGCTTTTTCGAAGCGTCAGCTTGCAATATTATGTAGTGAGTATTGCCATTGAAATGTATCGGTGTCATAATCTTATTGAAGATTAACTTACTCGTCGAAAAAATCAGATCTACTTCAAAAGCCTGATTAATAAAATTCTCAATGGATTGTACATCTGTAGATTGTACACCTGTAGAGCTAAAGCAGAACAACTATCATTTGATAGAGAGTATTTGATAGAGAGATTAAACTCTCGGAAAAATCGCAATCAGCAAACACCTATCGCTGCTAATAGACAGTAATCGATTAATCCCGATTGTTCGCATTAATTGTTCTTCCCTGAGGATTGTTACTTCGAAATACGTGCGTATCGACTTGTTATCTGCTATTTTATCGCAAAGAGAAACGGCGAATAAGCTATAGATATAGAGAAAGAGAGAAAGAGAAAGATATAGAGAACCACTGATATTTAGCAACCGATTTCAAGATCTTGTAGAACATTGTGATCTAAAGAAGGACGATTCGTTCGTAGGAAGAGTGCATTACAGAAGGAGGACTTACAAAATATTCGAGAACACTTTATAACAATCGGACGTTTTTCTTTCACCTTCGATTAATCGCCGAGAGACAATCTCGACCAGTGATGGGCAAAGTACTATTTCCATCCTCAAATATTAGAGATAGCTCGCTCATCGTTTATCAATCTATCGCACTATTCTGTCAATAAAAAATCTTGGGGATACTATAAGAAAATAGTGAGTTTTTATATTCTTTTCTTATACGAAAACATAAAAAAGTATCTTTTCAACAAATTGCTTGAAATGATCAGTACGTTAAGAATTATATGTTTTGCAGAAGTCAACAAATCTTTCTTATAAAAGATTTGGAGATGAGAATTACAGGAACTGTAGACCTTCATGTATAACTGAAAATCCGTATCCACTCTTAAATATCTTTTACTCCAATATAACTCTGTAATGTATTAGGCAACAATTGAATAATTATTTATATGTTTCTCAGGCAAGCGTGCAGAAAATTGTGAGAAATATTTAGGAGATGTACATATATTCGTCTCTTTTGGAACGTCCCCTAGTATTTTACTTTAGTATTTTACTCATCCCTGGCGTAAAGGTGCGTTTGAACGACAATTTGCACACACTCTCTTCCATCCTATTCGCCCATTGAAGATCTGTCCTTTTTCAGTAGTACTTCTTTACGCTTTCCGTAATTGAAACGGAAGTACAGGCGTGAAAAAAATCGAAAAGAACAGGATCTTCTATGTATGTGGAGAGTTGTCACGAACGCTCGAGAGTTGGGCGGTGCAACACTTCGAAAATTAAATGTGTTGCCACGCTTGAGATTAACTTGAATGCTAAGCCCCGTTCATTATTTATTGCTTCTTTATTTGCGATAAAAATGTTGCCTTGTGGCTTGTTATTACACTTATTACTATTAACCATGTTAATTGCCAATCGCGTTAATAGAAATCAATTTTACCTCGAAACAATTAAGTACATATAGCAATTACGAGAAAGTAAAGATAAACGTGAATTTTTTTTTCTAAGACAACTATTGCTGTGAATTTATATAATTTAGATGGAAATTAAATTAAATTAATAATAAAATTAATAATAAATTAATAATTAAATTAAATGAATAAAGAACTAATTAATTTTTCTTTTGAAAAATTTTTTTAGTTTCTTTTAATAACTCGATAACAGTATATTAATTTAATTAATTGTGTGCAAATTATAAATTAATAATATCATAAACTATATCACGTTTTGGAAATTTGTGTCATTAATATCTCATTTTCCGTTGAATTATAAATTATTTTTCTGTTTTCTGTGAACTAAGTATTTTCACTGTATTAGAGATCAATGTCAATTGATCTATGTTAATAACAATAATAATTACATCTCTGTTTTATATAAGAGCAACATATTTCTTTTATAAATTATTTTTTTAAGCATTGCTGCTAATATAATTAATCGACTATGTTAATACAACCTAGCATAGGGGAATAATAAATTATCTTTTGGTCCTTAACATATCTGATTTGATCTTAGTTTCACAGAATAGGTTTTAAAAAATCTTTATTATCGCCAACTATATCAACGATTAACCTTGTTAATAGTAATACTAAGTTAACAACATACAGCTATATATACAGGATATATCAAAGTACCGCTAGTCCTCGTCTATAAATTCCCGTATCCACCAATTTGGAATCTTGGCGTCTTCGTTAAGAGAGATGACATTATATTTTCGAGAAATTTATTAAAGAGTTTATAGCCGAGAAGAAACAATGCGCGATACCCAGGTTGACCTGTATAAAAACGAGCGTATCGTGAATCTCAGTTAGGAGGAGACGATGCAATTTCGTAGAAACGACTCGATGCACTTGCGACGCGTCGTGCAATCACGCTCGATGTCATTATACGACTCGATCAAATATTATCTAACTCGTACTGGCAATAATGCATTCACACACCCTGTATTTATGTATAAGCATATTTGCGTATATGCTATATAAATCATTCATCAAGTTTATCCTTCCTCTCGGATTACTTACAGATACTTTCCATATGTATAAGAGCCACTTACGTACAATCTCGCGTGAAATTCAGAATCACAGAATTCGAGTGTGCAATTTACATGAGGAATATCGTGAGCATGTTAATTCGCACTTAACAATATGTAAACTACATTAAAATTTGCATTAAAGATATTGTCTCTAAAGTAACTAATTTCAACTTCATATGTCGAGTAATCTATCATTTCCAAAATATAATCATATCTATTTATAAAAATTGTTATCTTAAACAAATTTCGTAATAATCTCTTTTTTATAAAATTAATAAAAACAACTTTTCAAGTGGTGAATTCTATTTTTTTAATAAAATTATTTCTTGAATATATAATATTTTGCAATTTTATATATTTTTATGTTAAAAGTATGCAAAGATTATAATCAATAAAACCAGTATTTCTCATTTATAAATAATAAAGAATATAAATATTCTTGATAAATTTATTTAACATTCCTCATTAAATTATTTCACACTCAAATCTTTCGAGAATGGAACTCTTAGGTATATGTGTCATGTATTTTTTGCTCAAAACAGACTGTAATAAAATCTATTTAATTAGTCAAACAATTTATACACGCATAACATAATTGATAAGTATATGTGTGTCATATATATTATCTGTCGCTTTTCTATACAATAATGAATGTATAAATAGGATAGAATACACAATCATCACGATGCTTTCATTCCTAACATTTCACTTCCAACATCTATTCTTATAAACAGCACATCGAGAGTAGAATAGAACCATTTAAAATTTGGCTATCACAAGATATTATGTGTATAAACAATGTTTGAAAATACCTTCACTATATATCAGAGAATTAACAAAATTTATTTAGAGATATCAAATTTTATATCTCGTAATTTAATCAATATTCACAGACATAAATATGTTTATTATACAAAACGTTATAATTAAATAATATATTTTCTCTTAGATAAAATATAATTCATGATGAACTAAAACAAAGAATTTTATTTCTCGTGTACATATTTTTATATTTTAAATAAAATCTGCACAAATATATCTATATTTTTTATTAAATTAATAAGTTAAATAAATAAATATTATAATATAAAATTATTAATTTTTTCATACCTATACAACATCAATAAAATTTTACAATAATAAACATTATGGTTAAATATTATGAAACATTTATGCACAATTCTTTTAGTTTTACTTAAAATATCGTCTCTTATTTAAAAGATTATACAAATCACTCTCGGACATTTTATTATCTAGCTTTTAATGATATATGAATGAATAGATAATTTAGCTCTATAAAGTAAAGATTGTACATAAATTCAAAACTAATATATTCACACGTACTTGAGAATGATTTAATATCGCGTTCACTGAGAGGATGTTGGAAGTAAAATTTGTAAAACAATAAAAATAGCCTGTCTACGTCAGTGCAAGTTGCTGCCTAAGATTCGTCCGAATCAATCACTGCTAATCATCTTCAACATTTCCTTTCTTTTTAATTAATTCCTACGATTAATTCCATCTTTGCATTCATTTTTCCTCTTCGTTCCTCGTGGGAAAATCATTCTAAATCAATGCCTTAACTTTTCGCTTCGGAATCGACAAATCAATTTGCCATTATTATAGCAAAAAATCGAGCAGCGCCAGCAAGCGTTATTTATAAAAACGTAATTTGAAAAAATTCACGACAAATGAATAGGAAGAAAAATTATTTTGAAAGGTTTGCAATTGATGCTCGATTCCTGCCACATGTTTAAATTTTGCCAAGATTTCGCATCAAGGAAACAAGAGGATTAGCGTTAGATCGTTGATCAGTACCTCATGACTCGTTGGCTCTCTTTGCGAGAGCGAGCAGTTCGACGGACCTTCCTAAGTGCGATCGATTTCATTTCAATTCGCCTTAGAATTAAAGAGAAATTTTATATATTTCCGCGGTACCATAGTCTCATCATGTTTTTCTCAAACAATTTTTCCACCTAGATATACCACCTATTAATCCCGATCTTAAAGTTCTTAGAAAATGTACTTTATCAAGGTTAAGATCGCTGATCGTTTCTTGCTGAACGTTTCGATCCTTTTCGCACAGAAGATTTTGCAAAAAGATTTTTATTTAACTGCTATCTTTTATTACACCGCTTTTCCCGTAATCACGAGAATTTTCTAAACGTGCCTTTCTTCATCACTGATAATGGAAAGATCATTTTCGCACGCGCAACTATGTCGTATTCACTATTGATCAGAGGCATCCTCATGAATATTGTTCATTGCAACTCTCTCAGCGAATACTCGATATTTTTCGTATATATTTGAGATAGATCTTTGGAATCTCAATAATCGCATTGGACCAGACCCGTTTAATATTTAGCAGACAAGTATCTTCTATGAGAATGCTCTGATCAGCGAGTACATTTTCTTTGTACACCTGTACGAGAGTCATAAGAGACTATGTGTTCATTTATTCTTCTCTGCTTCTTTCAATTCTCGATCCTTTCCAGCGACGAAAAATGACGTGCACGTTCTTTGGCCAAGTTCTTGGCCATACTCCTTATACGTAAATCTCAAGCACAAGGCAATGTCCTGCTCAGTATGTGGATACCCCCCCTTTACACGTACCATTCTTTAATGTCTATTAGTTCTCGTTTCTTGTTGCTTTTGCTGCCGTTGGCGCCGTTTTTCAAGGCGCCATTGAAGGGCTGGCCAGAGCCAGCAGCGCCTAACAGAGCCGCGTTTGGATCCTGGCAGAACGTCTTTGTTTCATCCACCTTATAACTCGTTTCTGGCCGATTCTTAAACTTGAGGATTATCAATATGATCAAGACTATCGCTATTAATGCGGCGGCTATAATGCCAATTATAAGCGCGGCATTCTCTGCCGCTTCGGATGTGATCCGCTTATTGTTGTTGTTCTTGGGCGGAGTGGGCATCGGTGGATACACCGGCGGTGGAGGTGGCGGTGGTGGCTCCGTCATTTCCGTCGTGGTCGTCTGCGTTGTCACGGTTGTCGATCGATGCGTTACGACGCTGCTGCAAAGCATAAGCAACAATTAAATGTTAAATTTTAATTGTTATTCAACATTATTTATTTATGAACGAACTGTAGTTTTCGCGAATTTTGTAACTTTTTACCGAAGGATGATTACAGTACGTGGTATGTATATTTGCTAGTAATACTTCTCTCGTTTAAACACGCAACAGAATGAATGTTTGCAAGTAAATTACTCAATTCAATTTAATTACTCAATTAAATTAAATCGTTGCAAAAATACTGATTAAAAATCGTGAAAGTATAATAGTTTCGAATTTTTAGATTGAGATATATATTGATTTTTATACTATACATATATATATATAAATATAAAAGAGGTAAATTGATTCTATTAGTTATACCTCGTTAATCATGCCAGTAATAATGTGAAAGACTTTTCTAATATTCGATGCCAAAGGGAAGCTTCTAAATTATTCTATGAATTCAGTAAATATCTGTCATTAATTGATCAAGAAATAATTTATACCGTACGTTCTACATGTTTTAACGTGATTATAATAGATGAATATTATGGCGATTCTAAGAACGCGAAAAATGTATAGTAATCATCTCCCGTAACGACTAATCGATATGCATAAACAATTATGAATGATTATTCGATTATCCGACATCTCTGCTGACAGACGCACGCACCTGCTATGGCTGGTCTCGAGGTCTGTGGTTGACACGTTGTATTGGACGGAGACGGTGACGACGTCGCGACCCAACGTTGTCGACGACGGCGACGTCGTCTGGGTGCTAATATGGCTCGTCGAGTACTCGCGGGGCGTCGTGTACGTTACCGAGCTGATATCTGTGACAGAAAGCAAGAGGGTGAAAAAAAATGTGCGTTAGAAGGTTGCTTTGCCTCGTTCCATCGCGCGGAGGGGATGATATGGGAGAAAGGTGGAAGAGGAAAAGTGGAGGAAAAGCAGGGAGTAGGGTATGGAAGAGAAAGGGATGGGTTGCGAAACGTGCGGAGGCGACAATATTTACGCGTGCGTAGGCCGGCAAATATTCACGCGTGCGTAAGCAGAAACATTACGAACCGAATGATCTCGAGAGCATCAGGAAGGTATCACATAATATTATACATATGTATGCATTCAAAAGAAATGTCCATAAAGTGATACGTTAACTTATTTACCCAGTTAATTTTTGACAAAATTATTATTTTACATGTTCACGTTTCGCGTTTATACACGTAGTCATGAAGTCATTCACGGATGTTGGTCAAGCTTTTAGAATGAAGTTCTTGAGCGAACATTCCAAGCAGGGGTAGTAATTAAGTCTCTCTCTCTCTCTCTCTCTCTCTCTCTCTCTCTCTCTCTCTCTCTAATTTCAGTATATACAGTAAAATATTTCATGGTCTTTTTTAAAACTTGATAATAAGTCTATTGTGAAATTAAAATGACTATTTTAATAAGTTATCGCTTGTACTATATGTTTGTACTATACGTTTTACTTTATGTTATATTATATGCTACTAGCAACGGAGAAACCTTATAAACAAATACATTTTGTATTATTTTAGATATAAGGATGTAAGGATTTCTTGGAATTTAAATATATTGTAAAGTTTTATCCTTGGATGTAATTATTAAGGATTTTAAACAAACACAAAGCGGCACTATATTTTAATAAACATACTTTATTTATTTTACGATTGCGCACTAAAATTTTAAATTATCCCGATAGACATGCGTACAAAAAATGTAATGAGGAATTCTCTATGAAAGCTTCACGTTATGTATACGAGAGAATATTTCGAAGATGTTTTTATATGATTTTATACGTTCGGATAAAATTAAGAACACAATATCCAATTTGACGTTGTAACTCGACGAGGCAAATGTTATTACTGAAAGGAATGTCGCCCCCGGCAACAGGGTAGTGCTATTTTCATGGCAGGCGATGGTTGGTGCGCGCGTCACAAAAAGTCATGAACATGAGGAAGACGCCCACATCGTATTTCCGTTACAGAGGATTCTTTATATGTATGTATATAAAGCCGATGACCGAGAACGATAAGATCGATCGATGCTCGTTCACGCGAGATTTTATATGGCAACTTTTCTATAATTATATGTGTATATATACATAATATATACATAATATATATACATTGTATATAATATTAAGTTATACATCTATATATCACATAAATTATAGATATTAATTTTTTAATAATATCAATTTAAAGTGAATCAGAAATTCTTTAGAATGCAACATGTATAAAATTGCATTTTGCAACTTTTTGCTGAAAGAAAGGTATTAAGAATTATTAGACGGAACAATGTTCTTGGAATACGGACCGGTGACCGAGGTGACAAAAATTTCTTCTGTCGTTCTGGGATCGCCGGAGCCCTCTTCGCAATCTTCCTCGTCATCGCAGGTTGGACGCTCTTGAATATTTTCTTTGTGCAGCTTCGGCCTCAATGTCGTTGGCAATCGTGTAGGCGCCACGTACACTGGTGTGATGATGTCATCTGAAAATAGAAGCGGCGCAATTGTTTAAACGAACGATATTGATTACATTAGAGGAGATAATCAAAATATATAGACATATAGAATAAGAGTAATTACATTCGCAATAAAATCTTGTATTCTGCACCATAAAAGTAATTGCAAATATAAATTTCTTATGTGGTTTTAATAATAATTGAAGATAATATTTATTAACTGAAACTTGCATCATTAAATTATAAATCATTCAAAAATAAATTATAATGATGTTTTAAAGTATAATTCAAACTATAACTCTTCCGAGAAATTCGGTGTAATTGGATCGCATAGAAATTTCACGGTATATGTATACATCGCGTCGTGTTACAGAGTGACCGGATATGACGTTTGTCATATCCATCATCCACAGTTATTGCGTCTCATTAACGTGACGATGTTAATTTAGTTTTTAGTTAGTCGGAGAAGATTTTGGAACGGGACTTCAGTCCGTCGTAAGAGGTTTGCTGGAAGGAGAGAGGAGGAAGCTGTCAGGCTTTATCTCTATCAGTCAGCGATCCTAAATATGTAAATGAATCGAAGATACAACCGGGCGAACATGAAGACGAAAAGGTGGCCATGCCATGCAATACGTGCGATGCGTGTTGAGTGTGTATGTGATGCGTGAGCGAACGGGGACGTCCTTCCTCTCATGTGCGTGCTGAGAGAAAAGTCAATATCAACGATAGCCTAAGAGCAATTTTGCATACTATTTGCAGAAGTTAATTAATTAAGAACATTCATTGCCTATTCTAATTTTAATTAACTGCTTCAAATTAACTTTTAATTAACTGCTTCTTTCTACATTTCATAGGAAAAATTATATCGTTAAAAAGTTATTTTATTAATTTTGTAAAATATAAGCTGTACTTTTTGAAATTCAAAGGATTTAAAAACATGTTTTCTAGTTAATTATGATTTAATGGATGAATAAACGCGGTCTGTTTAATGAAAAATTGTACAATTTTGTACGAATCGATTTAATTTGTATTAATAATTATCTCTTTGTTTCATGAAAGTGACAATTTTTTAATTATTATTTTCTCTTATTTGTTATACATGTGATTGGAAATATTACATTTTATAGAAATATTTCAAATACTAACTTTTCTCGAATATACCTAATATATAGAAAAAATAAGGAAATATAAATGTCTAAACTTTTAAACAATTTTTGTAACTCATCGAAAAGATTTGGAGATTTTTCTTAAAGAATTAAAATTAATTAAAAGATTAATTACAGGATCAAAATTTCTTTCGTGATAAGACAAATTTTGTTGACATTACGAATAATAATAAACAAAAAAAATGTTGGTAAGTGCCGTCAACAGACGACAGTGCCTACCATTACATGTGTTATTCCATCCTTGTCTAGGGGAGTGCTAAACATCTCTCCTTTCCTACAACACAGTGGAGGGACGATATCCGTTCTCTTATATATGGAGTGACTGGTTCGCGAGCGCTTTCGAGAAAGTAGATTTTTTGCAAATAACTCTTAATCTAACAATCCTTTTGCAAAACCGTAAAGGAAAATTTTGTTGCAAATATCACAAAGTACCTTGCAATACAATTTTATCTATGTACAAATGAATTCAACAAATAGCTATATTTATATGTTACATACAAATTTTTAATAAATACATTTTATTATAATAAGTTATAATAAAAATCATATTTATTTTCGTTGTAACTTTTAGAATTCAATTTTTATTTCATGCTAGATTTAATTCTTGGATAAATCAAAACATAATGTTTACGTATATATATATGAAGAAGATACACTAACAAATTCGTACGAAATTAAAGCTACAATAGCATGTATATATAATTTCAGAATTTTCAATTATAACAATAAATACGACTGAAAATTACTACAAGTTGTTTTGCAATTAATTCGCGTAATATATAACAAAAACATGTGATATTTCAAAAGAAATTTAAAGAAAGTTTCAGAATTATATGGAAATAAATTATCTCTAAAATATTATTTTGCGTGAATGTGTGAAAAAATGTTAATGACATTAATATGAGATGTCATCGAGACGAAATTACAAGAGCAACAAGACACGCGCACGTAGAAATGATTCCCTCGTGGAGAAAACGTGCAGAATAGATTACTTACTCCTTCGGAAATATTACTTACACTTACCGGAGCCTGACTCGTAGATCGGAGTGCACTCCTCGTCCTCATCATCGCCGGCGCAGCCACTTCCGGCGCCGGAGAATATGAGGTCGTCCATGACGCCGGGAAATCCGGACGCTGGTGTCTACAAAGAGAATTAATTATTAAAATTTGAGCTATTATCTTGGAAATTACTCGAGATTAACTTCAAATAACATTATTACGTACCTGTTGCATTCTTTGTAAAGGCGGGGCGCGATCCAAGAGACTTCCTGCTGGCAGAAGCTGCACATCTCCTCTAGTTGCAACTTTACCATCTTTAGCAGCTGCCAGTTCTAAAATTCTGGCACCATTGACGACTAGTCCGGCTATCACGCCGAGAAAGGGTCGTTCCACTCTGCCCTTGCTGCGATTCCATCGACCGCCTACCTGAATAGTAGACTGGCTGTTGAACACTGTCAGCTGATGACCTGTCGAGAAATATACAAACTTCTATAGCTTGTTTTCATCTTTTCTTGCGTTATTGGTCGACTTAATTATAATCATCAAAAATTTTGTATATTGATATTGATAATCTTTATGAAATGTATTATACATTTATGAATAAACTTAACGTTATCACAAAATAATTAATCATAACTAGAAATATATAATTTTTACATTATTATTAGCTCAGCAAGTAGGGAAACTTTTGTACAAAGTGGACGAAGTCAAAATAATAAGCAAAATGAAGGACCTATAAATTTTTTGACGAAAATATCTTTTTGATGTAAAACGACTTTTGTTGTGAATGTTTTATATTAAGCAAATTTCACAAATTTGTTATGAACAATCAATCCGTGAACGCAGTTTATAAAACTAAACGAACAAAGTTTGAAAAAATATTTACAACAAGAGTCATTGTATGTATATAGCGGTATCGTATAATGCGGATTATATTTGTAAAGATTTCATTGTTAAGGCGATCACGCAGCTACGACTTATGGATTGATCAGTAATTAACAGTTAGAATATTTCTATTTGAATTTTCTTGGATTATATAATTTCTCGTATGTATATAATTTCTACGATCCAGAGCCATTATGCAGCATCGCCGGCATGGCCCGCATGATGAAGTCCGAATGGAAAAATGGAAATCAGGAAAACCTCAATTTCTATTTCAGAAGTTTTATTTTTAGAATAATTTATTATAGGCCGAACCCGAAGTACTGCAAGACCGGGTCGACCCGCAGTGGGGACGGAGCAAGCTCCATACGCCCACCCCGTTCCAAAAATGAGATTAATATTCTGAATCCCCTATGGGGATTGTATCAGATATTAAGCTGATAAGAACAGATACTACACATTTGATCTTAGCTCAAAGAGCCGAGAAGCGATAGAGATGAGTGATTTTATGAGCTTTATATACAGTTTACAGATGAAATTTAAATACGAGAAAATATCTCCGAGTGGTAGCCGCGTAGTGGCGAACGAAGTAACTACGACGAGTAGTCGATACCGGCATGACCGGCGCGGTGTTTATTTTCCCCCTCCATAATCATTAATTTCGTCCTTATTTCAATCAAAGTATGTAACATTGTTTACAGGATAATTTAAATAATTACTTTTTAATAAGTTATATTGATTATTCTCATGTGTACATTATACCGTTTATAAATTCGGAAATGTTTTCTCGCGTTTCGCAAAACCTTATAAATATCTTGTTGAAAAGTATAGAAGAGTTTTTATTAATAATGCATTTTAAAAAGAACAGATAGAACTGTAAATTTGTTTTTTAATTTTGTCTTTATGATATTTTGTTCCTAAATTATATATAATTGAAAATTTGTCAATTTTCACTGTTTTTGTTTTTAACGTTTTCATTCTATTTTAAAACAATTTGTAATTTGATAAAAATTAATAAAAAATATTTTAAAGTAAATTTTTAAGCTTCAAAGTATGATTTAAAAAATTGATATGATGATTTTTTACAATAATATCGAATATATTGTTTGAATGATATAAATATATTGTTTGAAAATATGTTGTTTGAAAAAATTTATTAACATCAAAGTTAAAAAGTATTTATAGACAAGAAATATAAATTAGAGTTTTTGTAGCCAAAAGATAGAAAAAAAAGATAAAAAAAATTTTTGTTATAATATTCTCGATTCGTATAAACTTTTTCATAAAAATTGTTGAAGACTATTTTACCTTAACTTTGTGTTCAATATAAGAAAATCACAAGTATTCCCGAACTTATAAACAGTACAAGTAATTTTTATCTTATAATTATAATTTTTATCTTATAACTAATAATATTCAAATTTGATTCAAAGAAATAGATTTGATATTTTTCTAGCAGAAAAATTAGTATACTTTCATCTTCAATTGTGTAAACATATATTTATATTAAACAGAAAATTAACAAGTATTTTATAATTTTTATTTTTCTATAATATAATTTCAATTGTGTAAGTATTATATTTACCTTTGCAAATTCTTTAATTACTACAAAGAAAAATAATTTCATCTGTAAGTTATAAGTTCACTTCCATACATGTGTAAATATACACCATTCAATAATAGGTTCCAAAATTATCTACTATTAATATACTATAATTTTGTAATTTTAAATGTAATTTTATCAGAATAGCAACTATGTGAAAATACCTATGCTCATCACTAGATTTTTACGTGTGATGCAGGCATGTTTAATGACAGAAGAGTAACAGTTGACACTCACTGACCAGGCATAGTCAGTCCATCAGTATGGCATAAAAATACAGCTGGTAGACCCGACGTATAATCAACTTTGTAAAATCGAGTTCCCATGTGGGAGCAGTGACATGCAAAGTATCATGTGCATAAGACATGCGTCCCGAATTAACCGCTCGGACTCGTTCTTCCTCTTTTCTTATTTTCTCTCTTTTTCTTTCTATCGAGATAAGGATGTCATTGACGCCGCATTCCAATCCGAAGAAGTCCAATAAACTGTATCACTTTACTAGGGAAGCATGAGCACGACGGGTGTGGTCGTGCTCCTGTCTGGCACTGAGAGTCGAATAGAGCGTGGAGCCAAATCTTTTGAAGCTGGGAGGGAACCCGTAATCTTCTATATTATAAATCTATAAGATCCGTGAGATTAGCGCGGTATAAAACCGAAACGAGAATAGTTATTTCCATATTTATTCCATATTTATTTTTTCGAGATAATAATATCTTATAAAGTTGAATATAATGAAATATATTTTTGACAAAAAATGTGTTGTAAATTAAAATTGCCTGTATATAAAGAATAAAGCTATAATTTTTTTTTAAGTAAGGAAATAAACCGTTTTAGAATTTGTTGCTGAGAATAAATTTCGATATGTCATATATTTCAAGTTTAAAAATAAAAGTATAGATTTTCAGGTAATTAGCTCTTTCACGACATAATCTAAATTGATAAGTAAAGTGACAGGGAAGTATGATGCACTAAGAGGTATATCCGAAAGTAGATTGAGTTGTCATGCTTAGACAAGTAGCACATTCGGCTAAAGTGAATCAGGAGATGAGAATGTTCGATATCCACATATTTACATATTTCGTATTTATACGTTCGATATTTTTATATTTTATTTATATACGCTTAAATTTTATAAATTCGTCCGTTTCCAAACGAATTCAAAATAATAAATCTAATAAGAAATAAAGTAAAATGAAACTGATTTGTTATCGACAGATGTTATATTAAATCTGAAATGAGGAGGAAAATCACGTAATCGAGGCGTTGGAATTAATCTCCTCGTAAAAATTAAAGGTTCCGAATTCACGACGGAGTCTCACGGATGCGCTTTGGGAACCGTCTGTTTTACGGTGAGAACGGAGAGTGCTGGGTATGGGAAACATCGATGATTCCCAGGCGGCGTTCGTTTCGTATACGAACGTGAACAGCGAATGTAAACGCGCCGCGCACGTGCACGTACGTTTCGTTCGTACATCGGTCGGCTTGTCACTTGTCCGATTGTGGCGCGAGACAAATGTGCACGCTTGGGAATTGCAGGCTCAATTCGACCGTGGGACGTGTCTGCATCTTTATCGACAATAGAAGTGTCAATTCAGATCACTCGATTCTATAATTACTTGAAAAGCGACGAATATTTAAGGATAAGAATCAGAAATATGGATCAGTTACGATCAACTTGGATCAGCTACGGAGCTCTATCAGACTGATGGATCCAAAATTTGCATTAATCAGAGGGAAGATTCCATTCGATCGTCTTCGACTGATAGTACGTTATCACTGCATCAGAATTAATTACTGCCGAGCCATTAATCTTCACATCTTTACGTGCCAGCTGACGATGATTAATGAGTCAAGAAAATGAGTTTTTCGTACACTTGCAGTTAGCCTGGAGCTAACTCGGTATTAATTACAGATTTTAAGATTTTCTTAAATTATTCTAATTTTAGATATGTATTTATCCGATAATTCTTTACCGAAAGACACATGGTAAAGAAAAAGTTGGTGATAAATTAGATAATAAAATCTCTTTTCTATTAATGTACAGTTGTTGTTAATTAACTGTTAATTTATAAATAAATGTTTATTTAAATATATTTTACGATTAGCTAAATTTCATGTACTTATACAGAAAAAATGATTTTGTTAAAATATTTAAAAATTTAGTTATAGATACAGACTTAAAACTAGTTTGTCGGTTCATCAAAATAAGTATGTAGAACGATTAAAAGTTAATTGAAAAAGTTTTAATATTCCAACAACCAATTTGAGTGTCCTATAACATAATTATTTGATTCAAAATTATTTTTAGAGTTTATATTTAGTTAAATTTTTAAATATTATATTATACTTCAAAATCATTCTTTCTATATAATTTTCCGTATAATTCAAAGTTTATCATAAATAGAGTAGAAAATCGAGGATGTCTGTTTATTTTGAACTTTTCTAGTATTTCTCACGAATCTCCAGGTTTTTTCTGTATAAATTCTTTCCTTGATACTTTGCTTCGAAGCAATAAGAGCAGTACATAAAGAGGCGCCGCGGGAATCGGCACGCTCGACCAGTCTCTGAATCTTGCTTGGTAGGTTTAGAACGACCTTCAGATTCCAAGGCTGTTCCTAGCACACAAGCGCAGCTTAGGTCGACTACTATCTCGCTATGCTTGCCTGGTTCTTCTAAGCACTTAACTTAGAAGGACTAGCCTGTCTGATGAAGCGCGGACATTACCGCTGAATCTATTCTCCTATTGGTAATGTGTTACAACATAGACATCAAAAAAGATATGACTTTTTAACAAAGATTTTTTTTATCTGCATTTCATTTCCATTATTTAGATTACGATCGAATGTGATCAAAATGTGACAAAAGATGTTGTATCTGGGTTGAAAGGAAATAGATTGATAAGTTCTGATAGTTCAGAACTTATCAAACTTGAAAGAAATTTTTCACAAAATAATGTATATAATGTTTTTCTTTGGATTTTAT